AATTTGCCTTTGAAAATAGTTTTAATGTTGTAAAGAATTCACTTATCATATTCCTTGAAGGTCTACAAGTTGACACCATCAGAGTACCACAAAGCTAGCCAAATTCACTCACTGCCATTGAGTCGATTGTGACTCCTAGAGACTCCATAGGATAAGGTGGATGTGGCCCTTGGGGTTTCTGAGACACGTTATGGGAGAAGAGAGCCTCGTCCTTCTCGTGAGGAGTGGCTGGCGGCTTTGTGCTGCTTTGCGGTTAGCAGCATACCCATAGCCCACTCAAGTCACCAGAGCTCAGAGCAGAAATGTTCTGATTAGGAGACAGAATACAAATATTAATCTCGGATTTTTCCAAGTAATCTTAAAGTTAGGTATGCTTATAGAATAACAGTACTATGAATACCTAAACTTATGCTTACAATGTTGATGATATGTACACTTTAATAAAAATAACCTGCAGATTTCAATAATAGTTCAAATGAATATATAATTGTATAAGGCTTGCAAACACTGCACTTTCGGGACAGATGTTTCACAACTATCAAAACCCTGTGTTTTCTTCTCAGGGCTTTAGATTCATTTACCCCAAAGGCATTCTAAATTTGATTTACTATTCCCCTAAGAACAAAATTGATGATAGTAAATATCAGAGAGGAGAGCTATTTTATTGCACAGGGTAACGTGGTGTAGTTTTCCCAATATTAAACTTTTGATAACTTAGCTTCTTCTTCATTGCTGCCTTCACTTCCTGGTTTCTCAAAGTATAGACGAGTGGATTCAGAAAGGGGGTAAAAATGGTATAGAAAACAGAAAGGACTTTGTCCACCAGGAAGTTGGTGAAGGGCCACACATAGATGAAAATGCAGGGCCCAAAGAACATGAAGACGACTATGAAGTGCGCTGTGCAGGTGGAAAGAGCCTTAGACGATGCTGTGGAGGAGTGGGTTTTGATGGTGACGAGGACAGTGATGTAGGAAGTGAGCAAAAGCAGGAAACTCAGAAGAGCAATCACACCACTGGTGGAAATCATGAAGATGCCAAGAACATAAATATCTATACAAGCCAGGTGGATTACCAAAGGGAGGTCACAGAAAAAGCTGTCTACAACATTGGGACCACAGAAGGGCAAGTAGAGGATAAAAGCTAACTGGCTTATGGTGTGCAACAAGCCCACTGTCCAAGAAGTCACTACGAGCCCAACACACACTTGTTCGCTCATAATTGTTGAATAATGGAGAGGCTTGCATATGGCAATATACCTGTCAAATGACATGCAGATAAGTAGCACGATCTCAGTTCCAGTGAAGAGGTGCAAGAAGAAGATCTGTGAGATGCAGCCTTCAAACGAGATGGTCTTGCGCTGAGCAAAGAAGTCCATGATCATCTTGGGCGTGGCAAAGGAGGACAGGCACATGTCAATGAGAGACAAGTTGCTCAGTAGGAAGTACATGGGGGAGTGGAGGTGTGCAGTGGAAATAACCGTGAGTAAAATCAGACAGTTGCCCAACATGGTTATTAGGTAGAAAATGGAAAACACCACAACGAGGAAAATCTGGAGCTCAGGGGAATCAGTAAGTCCAAGTAAGACAAATTCAGCCACTCTGGAATGGTTGAAGCCCTCCATTGAGCTGCAAACTCTTCTCTATACTCTTAAAAGAAATGAAACAACAGAACTAGTGGAACATAATACTTCTGCAGCTACCTAAGAAGGAATCATATCACTGAATAATTTATCACACACTATACTTGCAATCTAATGATGCTCTTGGTGAAAAAATGTCTTTTTCACTTAACTTTAACAACTTCAATCATAAATTTCTTCTAAAAACAGCGAATTTGGGGAATGATGAGGGCAACAAATGTATAGATGTGCTCTACACAATTGATCCATGTATTGTGATGAATTTTAGAGGCCCAATAAATTGATTTAAAAAAAAACAAAGCATAGCTTTGGTCAGCAGCATCCGTACATATTGGCCTATATACATGACACAGCCACCAAGAAATAGGAGTGTGCTTCCACGTACTGAGATAACATTATCTCTGTGTGTCGAGGAAAGCGGCATTCTGTTTGTGTGCTCAACTTTTTAAGACATGTAAATAAAACAGGTCATTGAAATCACAGAAGTTTTAGTTGCACACACATATACAAAGAAATGCAAGTGTTTAGAACTGATTGTGATTGGGCATCGGGTTTACCAATTAATATTTAATACAATGATTTCAGAAGACCTATGAAAGTATCCTATAAAGGTGATTAGCAATTTTTTTTTGGATTCTTAATTCCACGAAACCAATGAAGATCAAAAATTGAATGGAAGTTTGTGATCTCATATTAATAATTACACTTTTCACCTTTCATTCTTTGGTGGGGTGGGAAGAGAATACCGTAAGGAGTGTGAGAATAGTTGCACAACCTGAAGTATGTAACCAAAAGTCACGAAATTGTACACATGAAAATTGCTGAATTGAGGTATGTTCTGCTGTGTAGATTCCCAACAACAAAAAATTAGATAATTTATAAAATTTTAATATAACATAGCCAACCTATTGTATTTCATCAATCAAATCAGTTCCTTGTTACATTAAATGCATTGAGAAATCTCAGCTTCATAGCTTTAAATCTGTACTACATTTTCCTGATTTATCAATAGGAGTTGTTTTATTACACAGTATGGTTCTCACTCATTTAAAGGAATAAAGTGTTGTATTAAGAGTTCTTTCTTCTTTATCTCCAAAAGAAGAGATCTCATCTTCATTCAATAGAATCATCCCTGTTTGTATCCTCCCTCTTTATATCTTCAAGTTACAGCTATAGTATTTCTTTACTATGACTCTTTTACTTTTTGTTTTATATAACTACAAAAGCAATGCTTAACAATTTCATCTCTGTTATGCTATCTGAAGACAATCATAACTGCTTGTTAAGATCTTTAAAAATCACTTTTACCTCTTTACCTACCCACTATGCAGCAGGAATCAACAACACCATGTCCTTCAAGATCCATAAGCCTATAGAAATTACCATGATCTTTAATGAACTTCAAGAGGCTGAAGATTGAATATATGTTATGTCCTGTCTTAATATAAAAGACACTAGAAGACAGCGACATTTAGGAGATTGGGGATTACATGCAATAATCTACTTGCAGTGGGAGTTATTAAAACTTGGAGTTGACTTTGCTAAGCATTGCATCAAGAAATGTGGGATGTGTCTTTGCTATTTAAAGTGAGGATACACTGCATTGGTGACTCAGTGTTCACTAGAGAAAAGGGCACAATTGGGACTGGCCTTGGTGGAAACATACACAAAGCTATTTAAAGAGCATGTAAGGACCAAAAGTTGCTCATTTGAATATGAGGACACCCTCATCATTATGCTACAACGCTCAAAGTCCCAGAGTTGAGGATTTATTCCTTTAGATTAAAGTAATGTGTCTTCAGCAAATCCTTGATTATTGAAAAAATTGTGTACTAGAAGAAGGATTAAAGTTTCTTAGAGGATATTAAAAAATAACATAAGCTAGTAGGTATAACAAGAGTCTCCACAGGTAGATGAAACCTGGAAAAGTGCAGTGTTGA